GGTAAGGACATTATGAGGAAACAAACAGAACAAAATGTTGCGAGGATTTTGTACAAAGCAAAAAACAAAGCCTTGTTTTCAAGCTAAATTATGCCTAAAACTGTAGTCTCTAACACACATGATGCAATTGTTTTGGAGGTGACAACAAATATGTAGAATGTAGTTGCATGCGAAAATAACGACCATCCATTTTACCATCTTCATTATATGTACGTAACAAATATTGTTCCTGGCACATAGTCCATATAAATTACGTTCTATATTCAAATTTATCTGCTGTCTAGAGATTCTGGAATGGGCCTTTAATGTAGTTAAAGATTCAGGACTTTTCAAATTCTGAATTATGAAGTAAACAGCTTGTAGTATAATATTGCATGGGTCAAGGTCACTTTTTTTCAAACAGCTCTATTTTGTTCTTCCAATACAACATGAGGTCCAAGAACAAATAAGCTTCTGTGTTACTCCTCGATTTACATAAGCCATGATACAATCCATAGTGTACAAAACATAATAACAATAAAAAAACTACAAATTAATCTTCAACACAATGTTTGTGAAGATGACTATCTGTCATTCCCTACTGATTAACGATTCTATTTTAATCATGATAAGGTTTACAATGATGTTCATGTCAAAGTTTTTGTTGACCCTAACGAAGATGAACAACAAGACGTGCTCACTGATGTAGATGTAACAATGATTGGTGAAAAAATTGATGTACTGCTGATTGAATTGTTTGTAGATGGACATGCTTTGATAGGATTGAGTTCATAAAAAGTAGCATATAAAGAAAATTGTAAATTGTCTAATCAACACAGAAACATAAGTGATTGATTTTTTTGGGAAACATTACTGTGCGTTGATGTTTACATAATAATATACACATGACGATGCTAATAATTTTCGCATCAATCTTCAAACGCAGATTTTCTATGGACTGTGGGTAATTTAAAAAACAGTTACAAATATTATTCAATCCTGAACATATCATTTGTCCTAGGTGGAGCGAGAAACTCGGTATGAGTTTGGTACTTCCTCCAAACCACTCCATTTCTTCTTCTGCTCCGGGCGGGCTTGTAACTACGAATTTGAAGCCTAATGATTAATTAGCTACAGTACTTTATTTAAAAAGTTAAAGCTCTATACGTCCAGTTACATGTATTGAAATATATTTACTTAATAATTTACCAAAAGAAACTGCTGTCTGACCTCAATAACCTTACAACTTAAATCTTAATACAGATGTACAAAGGTTAGATCAATGGTCAAACCAACATACACGAATTCGATCCCCAACAATTGTTTTGAAATATTAATACAAAACTACTGGCAACTACTTTAATAATAAAGCTGTTCTTATGCCATGGTCAGCAAAGATCTCGACTTCGGTCTTGCAGGTGTACTGAACCCACGTTGATAGTCAACGTGGGTTCAGTACTAGCAATCTTTGTAATTAATGATAATAGTTTATCTTTTTATGGGATGGGTCGGTAAGCAGGGGTCACCGCCTGTGATTATCCGCATCACCAGATGTTTCACGAGTTCATTGCTGTTTTTTTGGAGATATTAGACCTTAGACCTTTTGTAACCGTTGCTTCACATCTGTGTTCAGTGAGAATCTCTACCACTCCGGTTGAGCCAGCGTTTTTTGAACAAAGCAGACTTTTAATATGATGATTACATCAATACTTCTCTCGATCGTAGCCTAAATAACAGACAACGATGATTTTCCTTTAAGTCTACCATCCAAGGAGTTTCGTAACATCCTTCTAAAACTGATCATTATTCTATGAAGCTTTGAATTGATGCGAGGACAGATGTCTTGATAAGCCGGACCTAGATGGCTAGAGCTGATAGGACGTCGTTAAATATAGTTAGGATTTACCTAATCATGTTTTCTTTATGTTAGATTTAAGAGGATTTGTTATTTTATTTAAATCTTTTTAGTATTTTTACATGAAGTAAAACCCATCTGTATCCATCTATACTCCAGAAGATTGACATTTATAATATATTAAAGATTTCATGGCTAGGTACAGATTGGACAACTATTTGATTAGCCATCTCAACAGTAATTTTTAACAGTAAAATCAAAGTCAAGGTCATTTTAATGTACCTGAATACAAGCTTTTTTAAAACCTCACTCAAACAGCAAAAAACTAGTTTTAAGTTAACAATTTAAAAGGAATAGTGACTTAACTACAAACTGTAGAAAAACTATTGTATCGTGATGGAGATGTTTTACATAACATGACAAGTGTATTTTGCCAACACAGTAGCCAAGTAATTAATGCAATGCCATGCTGTCTATTGGGTTCGGTCCCTGATAACAATAACCCGTATGAATTTAATGCAAATAACGATTTACTCCCGTAAAATGAACTGAGAAAAGCTCTTCTACTTTCAAGTCGGGACTCATTTACATTAGCAACGTTCGCGTTGTGATGACGTCGCGGAGGCGACTTCGAATGACGGCGAATTCCCTTAAGTCGTTATTTTTTTCATATACGTAATAAGTAATAAAAAAATATAAACAGAATTTTTTATTTATGATCGTAGGTGATTTACAATAGACTTAAATCATAATAGTCCAACCAATAACTTTTCATATTTTTGAGAGCTGCGAGATGGTTGGCAAAATAGTCAAGAGGCACCATAATCTTATTGGAGGCTAAGATCGCTTAAGGATTTTATGTCGCTGAGCCAATAAGGAATAAAAACTTTATTTTTCATAAGCGGTATGGGCCTGTGTGTAGCTTAAAAGCTATAACTACCAAAAATAACTCATAAGTCAAGTTAGCACCAGGTAACAAAAACAACAAAATCAACCTTAATTACCTTAATCACTTACAAAAGTAATCATAACAATGTTCCTCGTATAACATGTAATGAAATAAAACCAAAAAACAATATAACAGATTAATGTGCCATGGAGACCATAAAACAGTGACAATGACCTTCAAAGCACTGAAGGTTAGCTAATTAAAAACTAAAATAATTATTTAAATCAAACCACAGCAGCACTTAAAAATAAATAAAATAAGTAATAAAACGCAACAAACATTACAACCCACACACGTACACAGAGATAAAACCAAAACCAGCTTAAAAGTTTAAATATTCAATCATTTAAAGCAAGAATTAATGCAAAGTTTGTGAAGATAATGAAAATTGGAAAAAATAAGTAAAGAACGGGAAGAAAAAGAAGGCAAATGTACATATAGAGATGATGAACAGGTTAATGATATTATTTATGGATAGCTGGATAGCATGGAAAACGAACGAATACGGATCAACACCATCAGTTGATGGCAAGCAATTGGTGCTGCCCGTGAACAACTGTAGTACTAGAGACACGAGTTGCAAGCACGTTGATGAAATTTTGAGGGTTTGTGATATAAGGATTGGAAGATTTGGGAATTGGTATAGGTGGATGGATAAGGCTTTCGATAATCTCACTCACACGGCAAAATACGACGTCAATTATTGCCGGATTTGTGTGAGGTCGCGTTGTGACTCTGGTTGAGCCAGCGCATTCGTGGCAAAGCATGGCTCACCCACACTTTTAAGATATGGTCATGGAAAATATGAATATTAATTTACGAAGGCAGACGAAATGAACGCCGTGATGAATAAACACAAAAAGATGAATAAATATGGAAACAGTGAAATAGTAGGTCAACGACAGAATCATGATATTTTCTGTATTTATGTATCCCAACAGAATGTGCAGCATTGTGTGATGGATATGTGTGTAAGAGTGTAGAAGTTCCTGCTAAGTTTGCTTATAAATATAAAAATATAATTATTCGTTTTGAATACACTGTAGAAGTGACTCGACGTACTGGAATGAACGTTGCCAAAGATTTTGAAGTTCGAATAAATTGATCTTTATCTTTCCCAATACAATGTGAGAAGATTCATATCATATCTTCAGAAATCTGTTTGTACGTTGTATTATAAATATGTTTATACTTATCAACTTGTAAATATGACTGCCGTGTGGAAGATATAAATAACTTTTTAATTCAATCGTTGGATGGTATTCACCTAAAATGCAATTTGCAATTCCAATAGCTGGAATTCATAAAACTATAAAACGTTCTTACAAAATGTTTGCAGCAATTACGTCTAACGTTATTCCTTTTACACTTTCATCTCAATTTCACGAATAAACTGTTGTACTGTATCAATATTTGTTTAATAAAACGGTGATGGTCTGCGTGGTCGTAAAATATGCCAATTATAATTCGTCACGTTCAATTGCAGACAATTAGTGATCAAGTTGTGTTTCTTTGATTGCTTTTTGTATGCTATGGCCTTGTTTCTTCTTATCTAGTCTTTTGTTATTTGATTCTATTGATGGCATATTTCTCATATTAATGTTTTGTATTTGTTAATTGAAGGGTAACAACGAAGTTTGATCTTTTAGCTATCCTAGTAATTCTGTCTTCAACATTTTATAAGGAGGAGGATCTTTATTTCAAAATGTTTCCATTTGTGTCTGTGTTCAAATGTTTTTGTGGTGTTTTCGGTGAGTTAACTTGCTATACATAAGTTTAACATAATTCAGGTGACGAGAAAAGAATTTGTATTTTGTATATATTGTATTGATAAATAAAATGCAAATAACATATAATGCATTCATCGGCACTGTTAATAAAATGTCGCATAAAGATTTCAAAACGAAAATAAATAATAAAGTATCAAGAAAAAAAATACTTCAAAAAGCTAACAGAAAAACAAGATTTTGACTAAAAAGAACAAGCTTCGACGGAAGATAAATATAAAACAAAAAAGAGGAAACGTTATTAAAATTAGTCTTATTAATTTGAACGAATTAGTCTCAAGGTGAATCGGTTATTTTTTGTTATTTACAACCTCTTTCGTAGGATTTCCGATACACAGATAAATGGAAAATTAGTATGTTAACGACAGAGTCCCGTCTCTATAGAACAAGAGATGTACCGCGCCAGTAAGGTATCGATATTCGAACTCACCGAATCTTTTCACATGTACGTCCCTATTAAATGATACAGTTCTCGGTTTTGTTTCTTTCGTTTCCTTCGTTTCGGTATCGACCCTCGTATCTTTGGCTACCTTATCGCCATCTTCGGCATTATCCGACTTGACAATTTCATCAGTCATTGGGTAGGTGAGGTACCCAGGTTTTGGTACCTCAGTAACTGTTTTGTTTACCGTCAACTCGGCAGTTTGCGTTTCGGTATCATCGGTATTTGTTTATCTGCAAAAAGTTTTACCGACTTAGACCCGGCTTGGAAAACTGGCAGCCATTTGGATATTTTGTAAAGAAACAGATATGGGTTCTTCAGATAGAGATGAGTTATTTGCGTTTGAAAAAGACTTAAATATTCTTAAATCATAAAAATATTAAATATACCAAGATGGAACTTATACTATATTTGTCGTAATGGGAAGTAACATAAATTTCTATGGGATCATTGCGGTAGCAGTTACTATATTTATCAATGGACATGATTCATACCTTCTCGTGATATCGTACATCGGGGTGACTGCGTTGCTTACATCACCAACAACCGAGGTTTTGATCGCATTTTGCACCAAAATTCCTGTAACAAAGAAAAGTTGTTGTCATTGATTTGTTTTAAGAAAATAGTGCTGTTTGTTCTTTTGATGTCCCCTGCTGTCTTATGGTAACTATAAGATAAATATTTTTAAATGTCTATTATTCAGGTAATCAATCGCCCAAATCATTTGTGCACAGCATTTTATATTAATGAACACATTTTCATTCCCTAAAAACGCGCCTTACGTCATGATATCAGTAACTGCCCTTAACTACACGTTACTTGTCATCCAGCCCATCCATATTTCCTATTCTATTCTAAAAATTATTTGTCCTTTTAGATTAGAACTATTTCGATTATACCATTAGGTATAGCTGGTTTTGAAATCAATAAAAAACTAGTGAAGCTATTTGCTCCTCTTGTATGTTTGACTATATCCACATCTATTACTGTTTACCATAGAAGTACACGATATTGTATTGCTTCACATAAAGCTATCATTATTAACTACAATCTCATCGCACACAAGCCCAGTTCAAAGTTCAGATGATAATCTGTATCGTGAGATATGGGTACAGGCATCATCAGCAAATATTCTGATTGTGAAACCTAATGTATTTTTTATGATCCATCAATATTTGATGTGGACTCATCAGATATGGATGTAGTGTCACGATATCTAGATGAGTTGGTACTGTCTCTACATATTAAAATATAAAGCACAATCACGTACTGCGGGCCCAGTTCGTAGCAGGAGAAGGAACGGCGTTTTTGGTTAAGCGTTTGACACTTCCTCTCCAGGGCAAAACAAGGCAATTTATTGTTTAAATTTCTTAAGGGGTTTATTCTGAAACTTCAATGGACGCTTAGTTTTTGTCAGGGGTAAATCATTAAATGACTTCTCCTGCCCAGGGTGAGGCGAGAGAGTGTTTCAGACTCTTACTGACTAAAACCCCCCGTTCTTTCTTCTGTTTTGGGCCGAGGCCGCGGTGACTCATTGCACTTAATTCGCAACCCCGGCTGAACATCAGCACTATAGGCCCTGTCTGTGGAATGCTTATCTTAATAACACATAATATTAATTCTAAAAAAAATGAAATAAGCCCTCACAAAACCCCATGGAAAAGATGACAACAAAAATCTCTGTAGGGATTGGAATGACTGGCATTTTTGTACAGTTCTCTTAAAAAATAATTCTGGTAATCATTCTAAGGGATATAATGGGTTTTGAATTCTTACAAGTATTGTTCGAATTACACTTAAGAATGACTTTACATCATTTATAATTGGTACCTAACCAGTATTTTTAATTAAATTAAAATAATTACAACCTTTTTTTTAAAATAAACCTTGAAATCACACGGATTTTCTTCTGTGTCGTGGGCGCGTTTACAAACATACAATTTAACATACAAACATCACCACACCCAGACCTGGAACAGCAATTTGTGGATCACACAAAGAATTGTTCCGTGTAAATCGAACCCGCGACACGTTGCGTGGTAGCCAGTTGCTCAGTCACCGCGCCAACCATGCAGACTACGCAATCTGCTGCTTACCTACGGACTGTTTGAGTGTACTCGATTAATTTCAAAACACGTCCTGGTTTCTAATCGAGCGTCCTTAATGGTCAATTCAAGCACCCACGTGACTTAATCGTATATTTTCATTAAAATCGTACTTCTCATTTGAAGTGCATTAGCACAAAACGGCTTAAAATTCTTGGCCTAAGCTTTAGCCAAGTTTTTAGCACGTAGTACGAAATCATGTATTTACTATATTTGGTGTGGCGATATGTCCCACATCGGTAGCCAGTCGCCAGTGGACCGATTACGAAAGCAAATGGTCACTTGCCAATTACATTACTTAGCCAATGACGGCGTAATTCAGAAGTTTCGAGCGAGCTAATAACCAGAGGTTTTTTCTAGTTATTTATTTATTTATATTTTTGTATTATGAGTTTGTAAGTATGGATAGATTGAAGAGTATTCGTTACTCTTTCACACAAAACTACTAAACGGTCTTTAATGAAATTTACCACAGAGATTGACTGGAAGTCACTGACAGAGTCTAATTGCCGAATACTTCTTAGTTGAGTATTTAATATTTAAATGACAATATTAGTAATAAAAACAAATTTAAATAACCATAATTCAACCGGTAAAAAAAATTATAAAGAGAGAATCCTAGTGTGAGATTTAAAAATCCACATCGCTATCCGCTTCTAACTAAAACCAGACAAAACTTTTACTCAACTCTGAGCGGGTGTCATTAAGATCCATGGAAGGTTTAATGACCTCATTGCTTTTTTATTCGCCTGTATGATGTGAATTATCTCTAAAACCTTAATTAAACATTATTAAAGCCAGTACTTTATTTAATTCGCATGAAAATACTTTTTTGTGGCGAGTATTCATGTGTGGCTTGGTTTAGAAATAAAAATTATTGAAACGTGATTGGTCAACAAACTTATCATTATGTATGAATTAAATATTATACTTATGCAATTTAATGCGAGGATCGACTCCTTATTGGTATTTTTAAAATTAGAACTTGTTTTAATAGACAATACGTGATTTTATCAAAGATATAGTAAGTACTACGGTGCAACTTTAAAATAAAAAGATTGTATATACCCAAATATTTTACCTAATTCTATGTCGTGCTTTAGGGATTATCCAAATTATAATGATACGAAAATAATACTTATTAAGGGCTGCTCTTTCAGTAATTAGAAAAAGTATATGCGGAATAATAATGATGCTGTCGCTTCAGAATGTTTGTGTAAGACAGTGACAGCAACAATTTTATTTCTCAGATAACATATATCTGACTATTGAAAAATCTAAGACGAATTGAATTCTATAAGACGGATAGCTACGTCACCTCTGAGTATGTAATATACAAAATCATGATGACGTCACATGACATTTCAAAACGAAGTCACGGCGAAAGTATTGGACTCTGTAAGAAAAAAAAATACGAGCTTAATTGGGTAGTTTCCTAGGTCAAAAATAAATTAATTCGACGTTTTAATATAATAAAATATTGAAAAATAACTATACTTTTATTCATCGATCGATCGATACACTAAGTTTTACATATTTTTTAGCTAATTTTTAAAAAATAAGTAAGCTATTTGACGCAAAAATGCTATGACGTCATAATTCAATGTTTCATACAATTTTCATAGAAAAGTATCGTTTTTGACATTTGGATAAAAGTATTGAATTTGACTAGTTGGAAACAACCGTATTCTCTCAATGAATGTACCAGGCGCACATACCCATAAGCATCCCTTTTTTATGAATTTTTGAGTACCTACTTAGTTAACAGTATTATCATTATCACAAGTAATCCACTGCTAAACAAATGTTCAGGTAAAAATTCTAATGTGGAAAGACTTAAAAATATGCTTATCTTTTTTGTCGCCATTTCACACATTGACACAACTTAGCATTTTGTCTATACATACATACGTATTTCAAATTATTACGCTAGCCTCCTTTTCCTTACGTAATGCTGTGGTCTGCAAACAAACAATACTTAGTACATTACTCTATGTTAACCTTTCATTCTGTCTAATACAGTTTGTGTGAAACATCAGATTTTGTCACTAAGCAAACAGTTATCAAACAAATGTCAGAAGCTTTTATAACAGATTTTTTGATGCAATCTACCAGGATCGCAGTGTTTGAAAGAGTAATATCTACTTAGTTGCTAATTTTCATACAATGACCTGTATATTTTTGGTTGTTGATTATCATTATTTTTATTTTGGCTACATTTATTTAACTTTAAATATGGTTTTAACCTGGTGTGACAAAGAAAATATATCATGGGTAGTAAATAAGTTTACCCAGTAAATAGAGTCTTTAAATTTAAAATAAATATATTATTACCTATATTTAAAAAAATACAAATTAATAATAAATCTATAACAAAAACAATAAAAATATCTGCTTATATTTATTAAGAATAAAAATGCATAACGTCTCACAAACAAGTACCAGGAAAACATAAGTGACTAGGAAGATTTGCGACAGAAATGCAGAGGTCGGTTGCACCTTGAGGCCCACATAAGTTGAGCAACAGTTTATTTAACGCCTACATTTAAAATTCTCCGTTTAATTATATTTATTAAAATGCTGGCCTCACACTTACTAAAGAGGGATTATAATTATTAATTTTATACCTAATTAGATGCTTGAAAGGTCGTGTTTTAAAGATTTATCAACATCAACATCAGAAGAAGCCCGTTAAATTTCACTGTTGTATTATGGGTTTATCACTTTATATGAGGAGATTGGCATAATCCTTGTTTCCCTCCCCCAATCCCGGCCCAATGCTTAAAACTTCAAATTCCTTAAAGGCCGGCAACATACTCGTAACTCCTCAGGTGTGCCTCTGCGATGCCATGGATACGGGCGTTGGCAAAAATCTACACACCCGGGGAGAAAGATATCGCGGTTAAAAAAGTTCTGGCTTATCAGAAAACATTGGCATTTCTTTATGGAGGAAACCGTCTGAAGTTTTTTTGGAGAAAGGCTAAAAGGGGTTTGGGATATATTTCTAAAACCTCGTCGGTGGCTGAGTCCCTACAGTGCAACACCAATTACGGCACATACATCCGTATGAAGACCTGCATTTCTTCTTTAAGTGGCACGTGCCAACTGTGTCACTGTCTCGCCCGATTTATCAGGCTTGTCTTAATTTATGAAGACAAGTAAAGCTTAGATACAACTATTTGGCCGTAACAAAGACAAAAGCTACAAAAAGCCAAGCAAAGTGACATTCATATTAGTTATTATATATGCATCACATAGTATATGCATATGATCAATGTGCTCACACCGTGGTAGCACCCGAGGCGAACTCGTTTCTCATTGATAAGCTCAGAACGGATAAACTTTTTATGAAACTTTATTAAAAGTAATCCGAAACATCTATTGTACAGTCGCTGCCAAAAATTTAACAATGATAGACTGGTTATGCTGACTTATGCTGAAGAAATTAATACAGTCAAATTTCTAAAATGTTTG